GTACAATGATTAAGGTGTTACAACGGGATCCAAAATTTCTTAGAAAATGATTTTTTAAGGCTTAAATTTAATTAAAATCCCCTTTTTGTTATAAAGTCTATTTGCATTAAGAAAAATTTATGGTGCGGCCATAATGCAATTGTTTGAAAAAAGTTCGGATACGTTTTCGATGCAGAATATTAGACTGAAAGCAGAAATGCTATTTTCAAAACTCAAAAAGCTTGTGAGACTAGCTGCATTGATTGGAACTAAAGAATTGGGCATCGAGTTGATGAATTTTTGGCATCAGGATTCTGGAGTCATACGCTGCGTATCATTCAAGTGTATGCGTATCATTCATACTCTACGTATCATTCAAGTGTATGCGTATCATTCATACTCTACGTATCATTCAAGTGTATGCGTATCATTCATACGCTGCGTATCATTCAAGTGTATGCGTATCATTCATACGCTGCGTATCATTCAAGTGTATGCGTATCATTCTTACACTGCGTATCATTCAAGTGTATGCGTATCATTCAAGTGTATGCGTATCATTCAAGTGTATGCGTATCATTCAAGTGTATGCGTATCATTCTTCCCCAAGACAATACCTGCAAGTATCCTCTAACCTAGTTCTCCCATCACCGAGTTTTTGTCGTGCTTTTGCAAAGCCATAAACGAGAATCTGCCAAATATTGTTTGATCAGCAATGATCATTTGTGGTAGAAAAATTGGTATTTTACTTCCATATTTCACAAGACTGAGTACAAAACCTTCACTGTCGCGATGCACATTTACGATATAACTCCGCAAATGGAACGTTTGGTCGTTGCTAGTCCGTGTCCGCTTGCGCCCTCAACTAAAGTTTAGCCATATTTGTAGCAGCTTGCGTTGAATGCCTCAACGATTCCATAAATAATTATACTTCTAATCTGCTCCGACACTTGGTTCAATATGGCTTGCCAATATGATCACATGGTACAGAAATGATTTTGAATTTTGAAATCGACAATCAGGGAGTGACAAAAGTACTTATTTTTCAATTAATTCTGGGATGATAAATCCATCGGGCAATTAGCCTGTGGTCGACATCAAATATCCGAAGACTTGAAATAATAAATGAACAGATCCTAGACTTGGTATACCTTGATATTTCCATTGTCTTGTTCATTCATTGTGAAAATAATTTGAATTGCTTTAATAAATGAAAACATTTAGTTCATTAGCTGAATTGTCATCGAGGAAGCAGTGCTGATACGGGATAACGCGTTACACATTTACCAACGCATAACGATATAATCTAATCAAACATCGATTCAATTCATCTAATAAAAAATTCAAGTTTTATAATCTTGACTATTGAATTCTAAGTTCTTGAAAGTACTTTTGTTGAATGGATCTTCCGTTTGGTGCGTGGGCGTCGTACGCAGCTTATAGTGATTTTAACCTACATTTATGATTTTAGTTTGATGCTGACTCTCCACTTACCTGGTTTGAAGGTAATACTTGGCACGTGTTAGAGTTCAGAGTCATCTCTGAATCATCTTCAGTATTTACACAGTCTTCGGTTAGTGGGGCTGGTGGCATCTCACAGGTTCGGTGAACAGCATACATTAACGGGCACATTGAAGCACATGATTGCACACACAAATCACATTACGAGTTATTCATTCATAGGAAACGTAACGCAGTTGCAGGTTATGGACATAATATCTGGCAACCAAAAAAAAAATTCCGTTATTGTGGCCACGTTTCACCGCACGATTGACGCAACTCTCAAGTCCACACGTTCGTAACTTCGTACTGCTCCTTCCGTATCTGTAACTGCAAACTCTAATCTCAAGTCCAACACTCTCCAAAACCATGGTTGAACTAGTATATATATAGTCCAACCATGCTCCAAAACATTCATATTCTTCTACTTTTAATTAATTCTACACAGATAAATTCACATAAATTTTCAAACAATAAAATAACGCTTTATTTGAAACCTCTACAAACTCGTTTTAAATTATTAGTGTATTAATGCTTGCTATAAAATGTNTGAAACCTCTACAAACTCGTTTTAAATTATTAGTGTATTAATGCTTGCTATAAAATGTTTCTATTAGCTTGTTAGCACCAGGTGCAATACTAATTAATAAACAATTATTTTTAACATTGCCTGTTTGTTAAAAAAAATTCCTAAGAAATTTCCAAAAAGTTGCGTATTTAAATCTTTTGAACCGAAAACAAGTCACTGTGACTAAAGGTCATTTCATAATTGGATCGAGTAATCATTTCAATCCATATGCCATTCAAAATTATTCAGTAAACACTGACTTTAAATGGCCCAGTTACTTTCATTGCCAAATTCTGTGACGCGCTTTAATTACTTTTATCACCAAAACAGTGCCAATCTCATTAAAGTTTATTCATGGTTCGCGGATCAAGTTCGGTGAGGAGGCAAATAGTTTCGTCAAAAGTTTAGGTTTTGGTTTCGTTCACTCGGCAAGCTTGCAGATCCCCTCCCACGTGAGTAGTTCTCCCCTCTCTGCCTCCTCAACTCCTCCCATGTAATTGTTACGGCCATTACCGTGCTTCCGGTCAGCCACGACACTTGACGGGCAGTTGCGTACGCGCAAATAAATCTTCAGGCACAAATGAGAAAACAGAAGCAAGTTCATCATATGAATACACAAGCAACAGAAGCAAAAGATTCCTATGTATAATATCTGTACCGCAGATAGCAAACCGCGTTTCTTGTTACATTTCATGTCACTTATGACTGCTGTTAACAAATTTTTTCTCAGAAATAACTTTGAACTGTCTATTTTTGAAACTTTATTTGATGAATTTCGATTTTGAAACGTGCAAATCCGTTTATTGAATACCTGTACTAATTTTCCTACAGCCTGAAAATTCTGTGCTCCTGTCCAGACAACTTTCAATAAATGCCTTGGATTTGTGGTGCTGTTCCTAACACTACAGATTCTCTGAATAGTGGGCGTTTTCTCACGCAGTTCTTGAACTCTCACTAAATTAAAATAATCGGGACACATCACATCGAATCATTTCATATCACAGTGATGTCGGAACTGAAGAATAGGCCTGATGGGGCCTATCGCCGATTCGTTTACTTTCACACCATCGATGGTACATAATTTAAATCAATTTATTATATCTCCACGTTATGTAGTTTGAATTATGAACGTGGAACACAAATCATTCGATCTTCACACCGCATTCAATCCTCGCAATGAAACTGTTTTGCGAGTCAACAGGACTTGTGTTCAGGCGGAGCGTGCCTGAATTTGGGCAAGAATTTATGATCGGCTAGTAATCAGTAATCACGAACGACATATCCAAGAAACTATTTTCAACAAGCGTCTATAAATGTAGCTTAATCGTTCAAGCGTCATTTTTTTACATAAATACAATATTTATTCTTTTGCCCACATTGATCTCATTTTAATCGCCGCATCGCCCTGACGGAATGAATATTCTATAGTATACCGTAAACAATTTTCTGCTAAAAGAAAGCTGAGGTGCTAACCTATGGGTAACTTCCTTAAAAAGTTCATCCACAATATAAATTAACTGAACAAATAAATTAATACCACTATTAGCAACATGTCCATGCATGTAAGAGTAATACGAGACTCAATATTTTATTTCTCAATCAACTATTATCTAATATTTTCTTTTTCAATTTCTTAAAATAATCTGGAAATGAGAATTGATGAAAGTCTCCATACAACGTTTCAAGAATCTTTGGAAGATTACGGTCGGGTGGGATATTTACAACATTACCTGAAAGTATCTTAAAAGATTCTTGCACAACAAAAAAGGAAAAAGTAAAGCCAAGTTTCTAAGGTAAAAAATGAAAGTATGACGATAGTTTGCTTGAACTGAAGTTGCAGCAATGACCGGAATACCAAATTCCAGGCTTGAAGGACAAGTCCTATGAAGAAAGATTAAATATTATGTAGCTCCCAAGCCTCAGTTATCGACGTCTGCGTGGGGACGTCATTGAAGTATACAATTATATTCATGGTTTATACAGGGTCCTAGAAGGATTACTAGAATTTGAAAGAAGAACCAACACCAGGGGTCACGGCTATAAACTAAAAAAACTTAAACTGAGTTGCAGCTTGTCCACGCGACAAAACTTCGTGCTTCGAGTCACCGACATGTTGAACAGCCTTCCTGATTACATCGTTGACGCTCCGAGTATGAACGCGTTTAAGAACAGATTAGATAAAGCTATGGAAAAATATATGTTCAGACTTGAAATGCCTAGCACCTTATCGAACCTGGTGGAAGTCCAGTAGTTATTTCAAACTATCGTCAGTTTTGAAAAGATCCGGTCAAATGACTTTGTTTTTTAGATCTAATATGGACATGCCACGAAAAGTACATGACTCGGCGACAGGCCACATCAGGCCTACTCTTCAGCGCCGACATCACCATGATATGAAATGATACATAAACTTAAAGCTATAGAGGGGCAGTAGAGCCGCCAGATATTGAGTTCCCATCGGCATCGCTATACCGCCAATGACATGTTTAGTTCATAAAACAACAATGTCTCGAGAATTACTAGATATCCTCTTGACATATCTTACCCTCAAGTTTCAACACACAAACCAATGTGCTGTATATCTAACCATCAACACACGAACCATTGTGCTGTATATCTAACCACCAACGCACCAACCATTGTGCTGTATATCTAACCACCAACACACGAACCATTGTGCTGTATATCTAACCACCAACGCACCAACCATTGTGCTGTATATCTACCCACCAACACACGAACCATTGCCGTAGCTCGTGAGAGCATTTCGACGCGCAGCCTCCTCACTAAAGCAAGAGTTGTTAAGGCTATAAATTAAGGCTTACTTATAATAAAATATTTTCACAATCGTTTTATTAGGTAACAAGGAGTATAAATCACAAGGAATATTCTTAAATATTCGCAAATATTACCAAACATCAATAAAAATTTATAAATAATGCTTAATGCTATTAGTGCAGTTAGGGCTGATGAAGAATTGAGGTGACACGTATGAGTTACGGATGTGTTCTTTGATCTCTAATATGAGGAAAGTGAGATCATCAAGTATGGATAACAACGGAATAATAGGAAACTTAATTCCATAATAAGTTAAGGATTAAGTTAACTAAATTTTCCTTGTTATTAATCAGCGTTAATTCAAAAATTGTTGATGAGGTTGTAACATAAAAATTACGTGAAAGCTACTAATGGATAGCAACTAATTGGGTAGGCGCAAGGTTTGGGCTTCTCAAGCGTAGAGAATGTGTAGCAAATTCAATTAATTTTTTAAAAATATAATGTAAATTTAAATTTAAATTGATTTTGAACATTTGAACGCCACATGTGAACATTGAATAATTGTGCTGGTTATAGCCCGATTAAAAAGAAAACCTCACAATATAGTAGAAAGTTCAAAATAAAGCAGGTGATCGCTGAATTGACTCGTTAAGACGGCAAAAACTGACATTTATACGCTTCTTTTGAATAAACAATTGCATGCTAGCTGGAGTAATGTCTTTATGAGTACAAATTAAAATATACGATTATCACACGATAAACACATTACACGATTATCACATGTTAGTCATATAATACGATTATCACATGTTAGTCACATTATACGATTATCACACGTTAGTCACACCATCATCAAATGACGGGTTAGAGCATAAGCACTGACCGCATGCTTCATCACAATTAAACCTAAACATCAAGTTGGCCAAACAGAATAAAATGAGATCAACATGTAACTAAATTACCACACATTCAACATTCACCAATGATACAATTTCTTAGAAACCGACCAATGCTTGATAAACAGAATTGAGTTCAAGAACATACATCTAAATCCTTCGACTATCCCGAACCAACTTCACATCACGAAAAAAAGCATAAATTCACGACACTACGGCAATGAATGGTTCCGTAACCGCGGTCTCTTCATGCGCCTTCTTTTCTTATCGTCAACTCTTGCATCCCCGGCATTGCCATCCACCAGCGATTCCGTCTTGCTATTCACCAGCGATTCTGTCTTGCTATCCACCAGCGATTCTGTCTCAATTTTCCGCCTCGCGGCCTCCCTACTTGTCATCTCCTCTACGTCCATGTATTCCTTGATCATCACGGCCACGTCTTCCCTGGCTTCCGTCAAGTCTTCAAGGCTCATGCCCTCGTCCAGGTACCAGAAGCAGAAAGCCTTCTTGCTGAACAGCTTATCGAAGTCGGCCGCAAGCTTCTCCCATTGGTGCCGCGCAGACGTCGTGTTCGACAACACGCATACCGACCGAGGCAGCCGAGGTAGCCCCAGCTCAGGCAGGGTTGTCACAGGCTGGTAGTTTACTCCAACCTGCGAGTTTGTTATTCAATTATTCATTATTCAATCATTATTAATTATATTTGCATGCATATTAATGAAGGTACAGATTCATGGCCACTCTAATATCTTGATGATAAATTCGATGTTGACTCGTATGTAACATCACGGTAGCATGTGGCACATACAAGTGACTTAGTCTGAGAAAATATTTTATGGCTAGAAATTTTTTTTCATTTCTGAAGTATGGGTCATCAGTACAAACACGCTAATATTTCATTCAAATATATTAAAACTTTTTAACTTTCATTTTAATGGGTAGGTTTTCTCGGCCCTATCATGAATAATTTTCAATTAACGTAATGCATTATATATTAACTTGTGAATTAAAATTTTGCCACGCCTTAGTTTTCTGAATTCAAACTACTTAAATATTTGTTGTAGTTCTGGAGTGTGAACTACATTCCCCTTCTTGCTCGGCAGCTGCTGCAGTGTATCATCACTTTGATTTTGGCGATTTAAAGGCACAAATAATACGATCTATTACAATTGAAAATTATAAAACTAATGCTACTTCTACAACTTACATCCTCTCATATATTACAGTTCCTAAGACTATACGATGTTGGAACGATAAATTATTTAAATACAAATAGCGCCCTACAAAATCTGCGCACCTTGAAGCCCGTGGGCGTCCATGATACGAAGTTTATTGCCCTCTTCTGAATAACTTTCTTGATGGCAGTTGTGACATCCGAGGGCTTGACCTGCCCTCTGTACATGAGACAGCACGCCATGTGTACACCTGGGCTGAGGGGACCGCTCCACATGGGGGAAGTGGATGAAGTGGAGGAAGAGGTGGAAGGCGCGCTAGATGGTGCCGAAAACGAGGAGCGACGGATGGGAGGCAATGGAGTGAAGAATGAAAGTTGGGTGGATGAAGGAGCAGAGAACGATGACATGGTCGAGGATGGAGTAACAGGAACGTCTTGCTGGAGAAGTTCCTCCTTGGGGTCGGCGCTCTGGAAGACTGAACGCGTGATGTCCATGGTTGTGAACTGGAAAGAGATATTAAGTGCAATCTGATAGAATGGACTTGTGCAAATGTGTTCTTTTTCAACCATAAACTGAAATAACCTTCGGCATAAAATTTCAGTTGGCATAGTCGAAGTATCAAACTTTAAAAGCATAGTCGTTATGTCAAAGTTTAAAATGGCAGGCGAGAAAGTCTAAAATCTGTAAATCCTAAACAGTGTAATGTTTCCTCCGCATGAGTTGCGTTCAAGATAATAATTATGATGCTAATATTAATTTTTTTTAAATTAATTAATGTTTCCCGTGATAACATTTTTAAGATTTGATCATTTCTGAAATATATATTAATATATTATAATTTATGATAAATCACACGCATTTGCTATTTCTCTTGCTACATAACCAAGAATAAATCATTCAAAACTTCAGTAATATATAACGTTTTCAGAAATAACCCCGGATGAAATGATACAATAACTGAATTCCCAACCCAAAGTAGACATGACACCCACGTACATGCCGCCAGCACCTGTTCTCGACGGGTGCTAAGCTACAGTAGCACCTGTTCTCGACGGGAGCTAAGCTACAATCGCACCTGTTCTCGACGAGTGCTAAGCTACAGTCGCACCTATACTATATCTATAACTCTTCTTATTTTTTATGTATTTTTATAGTGAACATGAAACTAAAATGTTATGCAAATTGATTATCTGATGTGAGCATGCTAGTAGAGGGAAATGTATTTAAAAGGACGCCAGATGATTCACAGAAACAATGAGACAAGTTTTCATCCAGTTAAATTGCGCAGAATCTCACGACGTAGTCCTATGCACACCAAAAGATATGCACACTATAGGCACCTCAGGGACCCGGTAACAGCGGAGATGGTTTGGCTGAAGATGGCGTTGATGTGACGGAAGGTGGGGCGGCGTATGGCGAGTCTGTGATACGCGAGGTCGTACATGAAGGAGTTGTCGGCGGCGAAGGAGGCGCTGCAGCGTTGCAGGGAGTTGTGGCAGCTGAGCACAGCGTTGTACGGATAATATATAACGTTTTCAGAAATAACCCCGGATGAAATGATACAATAACTGAATTCCCAACCCAAAGTAGACATGACACCCACGTACATGCCGCCTACGTATAAAACCCATAATACCGTGGTACTTATTTTATCAGTCTGCTTATATCACAAGTTCACAATTAATTTAAAAGCAAAGAAAACGCTAAGCAAATTTACCATATCGATGTCTAAAACGTCTCGGAGTACAGCTCCATCATCAGTTCGACAATCTAAAAATAATTTTCTTATTAAGAATTTTATGAAATTATTTCAAAATTCTTAGAATTTTGACTTATAAAATGATTTTAATCATTTTTAGATTGTCAAACTGATGATGGAGCTGGACTCCGAAAGGTTTTCAATATCGATATGGTGAATTTGCTTGGCGTTTTCTTTGCTTTTAAATTCCCATAATACCGTAAAATGCAATTTAAATTTATTCGGCGTCTTGAAGAAAACGAGATTTATTAAGGAAGCGTCTGGATTTATTATTAAGGAAGCGTCTGGATTTATTATTAAGGAAGCGTCTGGATTTATTATTAAGGAAGCGTCTGGATTTATTATTAAGAAAGCGTCTGGATTTATTATTAAGGAAGCGTGTGGATTTATTATTAAGGAAGCGTCTGAATTTATTATTAAGGAAGCGTCTTGATTTATTATTAAGGAAGCATCTGGATTTATTATTAGGGAAGCGTCTGGATTTATTATTAAGGAAGTGTCTGGATTTATTATTAAGGAAGCATCTGGATNATTTATTATTAAGGAAACGTCTATTGACTTTATTAAGGAAGCCACGAACCCTGTTAAAGGTAACGTGTTGGGGTGGTACGAGCGGCGCGTAGTTGGTCGAGATGAACTGCAGACGAGGGAAGGGCACGAGGTTGGTGCAGATCTCTGACAAACCCATGCTCAGCGCTCCATCGAACCTGCATATTCACGGATAAATTAAATATTATATTATATATTATCATTATATTAGAGCTTATAATAGTTCAATTAGGAAAATGATCGTCGTTGTTGAGTTAATCTACGTATACATGTTCTTATTTTTCATGTTTTTTATAGTGAACATGACACTAAAATATTATGCAAATCGATTCTCTGAAATGAGCATTCTAGTAGAGGGAAATGTATTGAAAAGACACATGATCATTCACGAAAACAATGGGTCAAGTTTTCATCCAGCTGAATTGCGCAGAATCTCACGACGTAGGTCTATGCACACCAAAAAATATGGGCCTATACTTTCAAAAAAAGTTAAGAGAACGTAAGTTCATCAGCCAATCATTGACGGCCTTCCAAGCCAAATCCACCAATCATAGAAAAGAAAATAGAGCGTAAGTACTTACGTTACCTTAGCGAGTTTTGAAAGTTTGACCCATGCACACTATAGGCACCTCAGGGACCCGGTAACAGCGGAGATGGTCTGGCTGAAGATAGCGTTGATGTGGCGGAAGGTGGGGCGGCGTATGGCGAGTCTGTGATACGCGAGGTCGTACATGAAGGAGTTGTCGGCGGCGAAGGAGGCGCTGCAGCGTTGCAGGGAGTTGTGGCAGCTGAGCACAGCGTTGTACGGCTCAACTACAGCGCTCAGCACCTGCGCAATGATAGGTAATCATCATCCATGTCAAGTTAATGTTTTCGTATCATTAGCTGTGTGCACTGGAAGACCATCTTTACTGTTACGCAATGATAGGTAATCATCATCCATGTCAAGGTATTGTGTTCGTATCATTAGCTGTGTGCACTGTGGAAGATCATCTTCAATGTGACGCAATGATTGGTAACCATCATCTATGTCAAGGTTATGTTTTCGTACCATTAGCTGTGTACACTGTGGAAGATTATTTCAACGTGAACCAATCTTAATTTAAAAGAGAGTAAAACAGCGTTGTCAATTCAAATTAATTAGTCATTCAAATCAACTTACGGGCACGTAATTCACTTGAGGCCCAAGTCTATTATTCGACAAAATTTAATTGCAACTAATAACAACACAATCTGCGAGGAAAAAATTTTTTCAGACGTCAGAGGCCTTCAACGGTTTCAAAGTTAATTTTTATTCGAAGTTTTTTAATTACGTTTTAAACTAAATAGCTAACAACTTTGTGTGGTTATTGATTATTGATTTCGCAAGCTGGAAATAGAATTTACTGTCGCCAACTGGATCCTTGTTCGAAAAAAACGCAAGACCTTTGAGCGTAAATGACATACATCGGGGAAATATCTTTCCGTAGAAAAGAATATAGATAAATTTCAGCGGACGTCTAAAATTTTCTATCCTAATCTTTTAAATAAAATACTTCTTGTTAAGGAAATTTATTCAATAGACATTCTAATTGCAAAATATGACATGAAAACATATAATTTATATTAACATTCACATGGTGGAGCAATTTTTTTAAGCTCGAGCTCGTTTCCTCTCCATATCCAAATTCCTAATAAATTCCATTTTATTAAGAAAATTTAGTGAATGTAATGATGAAATTTTGACTTAAATCACCGTTCTGGAGATTTTACCAAAAAATATTTTTTGGTACGCAAAGAAACATCCCGTCAAGCGAAGAACAAGGCAATATGACCGCTATAAAATTGAGATCTGGACCTCATTTGTCGCCTTTACAGAGTATTAGATCGTCACCATTAACTAAATTCATGCCTCGTATGTCAAGGGCCCCATTGTTATATTCTTATTCAGATGCTATTTATGTTATTCAGTGTTATATTCATACTCATATGCTACTCATCTTATTCATTGTACTATTCCTACTCGGATGCTACTAGTCTTATTCAGTCTTATATTCTTACTCAGATGCTACTCATCTTATTAATTTTTATATTCCTACTCAGATGCTACTTATCTTATTCATTGTCATATTCTCACTCAAACCTTTGTGGAAGGCATGACGGCAAATCTGACATCGATTTTCTTACAGCTCGCTTCATAAGTCAGCTCGCTTCATAAGACAGCTCGCTTTATAAGTCAGCTCGCTTCATTAGTCAGCTCTCTTCATAAGTCAGCTCGCTTCATAAGTCAGCTCTCTTCATAAGTCAGCTCCCTTTACCAGACAGCTCTCTTCATAAGTCCTTCAGACAGAACTTCATAAGTTCATAAGTCAGCTCCCTTTAACAGTCAGCTCGCTTTATAAGTCAGCTCTCTTCGTAAACAAAGATCAAGGCAATATGACAGCTATAAAATTGAGACTGGGCCTCATTTGTCGCCTTTGCAGAGTATTAGATAGTCACCATTCACTAAATTCAGTCCCCGTATATCAAGGGCCCCATTGTAATATTCTTATTCAGATGCTATTCATATTATTCAGTGTTATATTCATACCCAGATATGCTACTCATCTTATTCATTGTACTATTCCTACTCAGATGCTACTCATCTTATTCATTGTCATATTCCTACTCAGATGCTACTCATCTTATTCATTGCTATATTCTTACTCAAACCTTTGTGGAAGGCATGACGGCAAATCTGACATCGATTTTCTTAGGGTACTCGGTGGCGATGTGGTCGGCAAGACGCGCTGTGAGGCCGGAGCCTGTGCCACCCCCAGCAGCGTGGTGCAGCAGGAAGCCCTGAGAAGGCAACGCTTCGGCATCACGCGTTGGCATGTCGTGTACAATCTCACATGAATTTATTGTTTAGTTATATTTACAATTTATATCATCTAAATTTAGTATATAAGTATCGTTATTACAGAATATGCGAGTTAGGCGAATTCTGGTACATGGAACCTCTGCAGTCTTGGAAGTGAACTGTGAAGTGACCTTCATAAGTTAGCTCGCTTTATAACTCAGCTCTTTTCATAAGTTAGCCAGACTTATGAAGGCTATTACACGCTACGACCTCCACCAACCTGCAGATTGTCGCAAGCCTCAACCTGCAGCCTGATCTGCTGCAGTGCAGGCTGCAGCAGGCGGTGGCCTGCAGAGTTGTAGCCTCGAGCGAAGTTACTAGCAGCGTCCTCCCTGCCGTACAGCAGCTGTGCGCCGCTGTACAGGCGAGCGTACGGCGACGCCGACAGCTGTTCTGCGTACAGACGTATGCGTATTGCGTACAGAGGCTAGCCAAGAAACCTTATTCAATTGTTTTGCTCAATTTTATCGGTTTATTTTAATTTGTTCTTTTGACGAATTTCTTAATAGTTCAGGGATGTCTCAATTACTCTTTTTATTAAGTAGAAAAACCTTAATTTCATGCGACGAGTCTTCCATTGAAACTTCTAACCCAAATAGAGTAGATTCTAATCGTTCAACGCGGGATGTTAATATAGAAAGGAAATTTCCGTAGACTTTCGAAATGCCAGTATAATACATCGCTTAATGCACAGGGCCCATACTTTTAAAAAAAGTTAAGAGATCGTAAGTTCATCAGCCAATCATTGACGGCTTTTCAAGCACTATCCACCAATCATAGACAAGAAAATAGAGCGTAAGTACCTACATTCACGTAGCGAGCTTTGAAAGTATGGCCCCAGGTATGTGGGACTCATGACTTAATGCGCTATGCATCGTTTAATTCACAGTTATGGAATTAACGTATGGCTAGATAAGCTGTGCGTCGTCTTGAGGACAGTTATACAAGGCTTATGGCTCAATACTCCGTACAGTGTACATTTCTCTCGTACAGTTACAATTTTTATTTAGAATTCTAAAATGTTATGAGAAAATTTCCAAAGATCGCTTCTTGATGCAAATTTTCTTAAGTAATGATGTAATTATACTGCGAATACTAGAGATAAATTATTCTTAAATGCGTAATTTAATTATAACTATTCTGTTTTTAATTCTAAGTTCCGGCCTTAATTTTAAAAGGCAATTCTACAAATGTTTTCCTAAAAGTTAATAAAAGAATTACCCAGATACCCAATAGCTCTGGGCCTATACTTTCAAAAAAAGTTAAGAGATCGTAAGTTCATCAGCCAATCATTGACGGCCTTTCAAGCCAAATCCACCAATCATAGACAAGAAAATAGAGCGTAAGTACTTGCGTTCACTTAGCGAGTTTTTAAAGTATGGCCCCTGATTAGTAACGCATTATATCCGCGTAACCGGACTCACGGACAGCGGAGGGGTCAGTGTCGATGAAGACGGCGCGAGGGCGGTACCTGTTCGCGCTCGCCTCCTCGAAAAATGAAAGGAAACTCAAGTCGTCTTCGTCGTAGGTAAGAGGCGGAGGCTGCACGAAGAGGAAAGATCGCATGAATTAGGGTGCATTTTAAGCTTATAAATTGCATTAAATGCTTACTTGGCAGTTCCAGAAAAGCAGTAATTTTTTAGAGGTCATAATTCATTGCAAAAATTAAAAGTCGCTAATTTCTGAATGAATTGGAGAGTGTGAAAATTGAAGGATGTTCTTTAATTTTTCAAGCGGGGAAAAAGCTTTAAATTTTCATCGGCCTGTTCTTTTAACCCTTTGTTAGCTGTGCTTTCGCTCGATCTACAATTGCCAGCTGAGCCTTCGCGCTCTATCATAATGGAGTGCAGCTTGTGATCGTCCCTAAAGTTTAGAGAATAAACTAATTTTTCTCTGAGAGTTGAGTAATTCCTATCCAGTATTTCCTTTTACTTCTACTTAACTGAAAATATAATATTGAATTACATCAAAAATACTGCCATAATACACACATAAGCAAACAATTTTGGATTTATCTGTCATTAATTTCAGGTACAATGCATTAGCCGGTGAATTTATTACTGTTAAATGCACATGCAACATCGTACAGAATGTAGACCAAACAACTCCGTCACAACTCCCCGCCACACAATGACCGAACTTGCGCACATTGAACAAAGTTTGAACTTGCGTACATTGAAATAAACAAATGAACAGAGTTTTTCGTTAACATATCGAAACGTAAACTAAATTCGTAATATCATCCTAACTTTGTAAACTTCCTTGCATCTGATAGTGTAAGCTGTAAGGTTATAAGGTATTCAGAAAGAGGGTGAATTTGAAGGTCTTTTTTGGGGAGGGGGATCATTAAAGAATAAAATTTGATGTTTATAACTTTTAACTTAAATTTTATATTATAATCAATAAAATTCCAAAAGAAAAGAATAATGCTAAGTAAAATTAAGACGTGCGAACAGATGTTTTCTTGCATCAAAAACCTATATCATGCAATATAAAAATTCTATCCGAATACCTATCCATAAACGGTTAGGTTACAAAATTTTAATCCGCGGATTTCTCCCGAAGATTTCAGTATCATTAAATCTTTACTTCTCACATGTCAGTCAATTGCTGATATATTTAGAATGTTCTTGAACAATAACACAGAACTGCTTCGATGCAAAATTACAGTAAATTGCCTATCAGATTCCTAATTTATAAAAATGCAGTTAGTGCAGTCTACTTGTGTGGAAGACGGTGGTGGTTTAGCTTGTCTGAGCGTCTCACGGACTCGTGCCAAAATTATTTGAAGTTTGCAAAAAGAATGTCTCCCAAATAACAGCCTTTCTGATGCTCTTAGAATATACAAATTTATTCACAATTTCTAATAATTAATTTTTTTACAGGTACACGCGAAAGGTCTTTCACTGCAATTCATTCAAATTACTGAGACGTGGGAGCTAATGAGGGACATTGGAAATATTGTGATATATAATTTATATGGGACGCTTTGCGGGTTACCCACCACTAGTGAAACGACACTTTCTAATTACAAATACTTCTAAAACCTCTATGGTACTTATAGCATTACGGCCTGTGAGGAGGTGACACAATACCGTTTCTCAAAATTGATACGGTTGCACTTAGAATGATTAATAATTATTATTATTATCATTAGTAATAACTATTATTAATAATAATAATTAATAATTATTATTACTATTGTTAATTATTATTATAATAATTATAAAACAATTGCACTTGGCAGAATGTGACACCAATACATTTAAAAAAACATGTGACAACTTAAAGATTGCACGGAACACCTGAAGATGATCTCGCCTTGCCTTGGTGAGAATAATACATTTATAAAAATAATTTTTTTACAATTATAATTATAAAATATAATAATAGAAATAATACATGTATGAGATAGATACCATACCACTACGTACATGGGAGGGGGGCGCTCTCACCCCCGCGGGGCTGAGGTTGTGTTCGAGACAGAAGAGCTGCCAGCTCGCTGCCCCCAACTGCACCCCGGCTTGACCCACGTGTAGACTCACCACTTCGCGCTGCAGTGGGAAGGTGAGACTTACTTTATGCAAATGAGAATTGGTTGAATGTTGCTTGTCATATGACAAAAAAAAACATGAGGATATCGTTCGCCAGCAGGTTACACATCCTTGGGAGCTACAAGTTCATGATATTCATGCACCTGAAAATGTATGAACTAATTTTATATTTTCCGTGTGAAATTCCCCAAGAGCGAAATATATTGAATTATTTAATGGTGTGAAAAAAAACAAGAGGATATCGTTCACGTTCGCCATCCTTAGGAGGTACAAGTTCATGATATTCATGCACCTGAAAATGTATGAACTAATTTTATATTTTCCATATGAAATATAGCGAAACGTATTGAATTGTTTAATGGTGTTATAATGGGGTCTTGATTTGCCGAAATAGATCACATGCACAGAAACAGAGAGAAGAGTCCCATATCAAATCTGCATTCTTAGTGACGAAAGGAGCTAGATAAAATCTTCTCTATTGTTAAAGGAAAATCTAAATTCGTAATCTTTACATTAGGTGCAACGACAGCACACAGCTCTTCAAATGGGCAAGGCGTTGGCATAAATGAACACTTTTTCCCTTAAAGTATCTCATCAAAGATAATTCGGAGTATTCTAGTTAAAACTTAATACATTGAACTTGATTTTAGCTAAATTTCATAGACGTTTCAAATTCAAAAGTACCAAAGTCCTGCGCCTGTCACCCGTCATTTGTTCAAACTTGAAAATCAAACGCTAACAGATGTTGACAAGCTAGAAATTTATAACCCTTTGACAAGCATCTTATGATTGACAATATTACATGCAATTGTTGTCTGGCCGCTCACATATGTCATCGAATTCATTGCAGGAGGCAATTATGTTTGGATCATTCGAGATAATGGCTACTAAGCATCAGAAGCAATCAGTGGAGGCATCGGGATCAATAAACTCTAGTTGCACTCTGAGTGTATACAAGTACTGGGAGAGCACAATTGCTTGTACCTCGCCCCGACTTTCTGGGTCCTTGACTAGTAATGACTATGCTAGTGATGGACTGCGGCGACAGCGTCAACAGCGGTTGGTTTTGACGAAGAGGTGAGTGAAAGATGGATGACAAGGCAAATATTTTAATTCTCAAGAGGCGATGAAAGTGTTCTCACTATCCTGAAACCAAATTGCAATCCCCCTTTTAGATAGAACTACAGTAACACAATTAGTTTCTAAATTTGGAACTGTAATGAAATACGCACAAATCATCGTATTCAAGATTTAATTTGATTTTCCCGAGATGATAAACCAAATTGAAAACTACTGAGCACCATTGCACACTACAGAACACTTCCGTAAGATATCGAGCAATAAAGAATATGTTACGCGTGATAAACTAGCATAATATTTTGGAGAATTGTAAGCGACAATGGGGATCATGTCTTGAATATATAGCCTCTGCAGCCAGACATCGCCCTACCGCGACACAGAATTCGCCACCGTGGATGCCGAGTGAGAATTAGCGGGATCAAACAATCCCTATTGACCAATATGACGGAATCTCAAGTGATCAGAATTTTATAAAATGGAAATTAATTTATCAGCGAACAATTCATCTGAACCCCGAGTGATCAATCCTGAGACAACTTCATACCAAGATAAGGCCAGGCTTAATCTCCTGAGATTTTACCGAAAAATCTGCGAGGTGTTGTCAACACACACAAAAACAAATTAATTGAATTGACGATACTTCATGCATTGCGACATACTAAAGACACAAGAGAAGGGAGGAAATGAAAGGAGACAAATGTGACTGCATTATCAGCTCAGTATTTCCACAGGAGTGAGAAATTTAGTCTTACTAATGCACGAGACTCGCAATACGGTCACTGTAAAACTATATATAATGAATAACTCTAGTCAAGATAAGTTTTAGCTCAACCGACGTCCACACTTATCGACGTGGCTTTATGTCGTGACTCACCCGTGCTTCACAATGCCTACCTAATAATTAATTTGCCCATAAAAAAACTTCGAGAATTACATTCTGAAACTTCACTGTACCTCACCCTTTGGTAGCTAGCCTGATGATACAACGCTTAACAATTTATTTTTCATTCATTTGTGTATGAGTTTTTGTATGAAAGCATACTCGTCCAAATTCCTTTATAATAATGTGGATTATTGTCAAAAACAAATGAATGCGTGCCAGAAGCATATTAATACCGCACGAAATAACTCGAAATCAATAAATTGCAGAAGTGACTAGAACGGTATCATGTAATTGAAAGTTTGTTCAATTTTAAATTTACTTTTAATTTGAGTTCTATTTATATTCAGTTGAATTCTATTATATTACTTATTCTAAGAAGCAATTATCGTAGAATATGGTTCAAACGAACTTCGGGTGCACGTTACACATACGTTTAATGTCAAGGGAAAAATAAAAAAGATACCAGAAAGGATGGGAACAGATTACCTATTGCCTACATTACATTTATTACCTAAATTACCTACACATTTCAACAGCTTCGCCAGTGAGCTGCTGTCGATGATTTAATAGCCAGAGAAACCCTGCCAGCCTTCAAGCCAATATGATTCATGATGAATTTTTCATGAGTGCCAAGAGCTGCAGCAACTCATTCAATCCAATAAATGAGGTGCGGCTACAGACTGTATTAATTGCTCATAATTACGGGGAAGTTTTTCCCGTTTACTGCACGTATGGAAATACAGGAACTAAAATGCTGCGTTAAGACGAGCGCTATTCAAATAGGCGATACCCACAATTTTCGAAAATTTGTTTTGCCGCAGTGAAATCAATAGCAAGAACAATTTTATTTTACTTTTCTATTTCAAACTTTGCTGGCTGCGGTTCATTCGCTTCTTCATAGTATTAACTCTGCCACGGATACGAGAGTTGGCGGTTGATACGGTGATACTATACGGTTGAGTCAGGCCGGTGCAGCAAGTCATTCAAGTGCCGCATGACAGCCATCCAACGATCAATCGATAACCCAGTATTTACAGCCGCACTAGCTCCAAATTGAAGGCTTATTATTTATCTAAAGTGACTGATTGAGCGTTTCTGATTGGTTCTCCAATTATGATGGGATTGATTGCTACTTTGAACTACACCAGGGTCTGGTGGAACAAACTTGACAAATACTAGTAAGGGATTAAACTTTGGGCAAGGATGAACATTCGTGACGAGTTCAATCCTTTATTAATCAAATATCATGCAAGCAAAAACATTTCACTGTCAATTTTTTTATGCAAAATACACAGCCAAATTAAAGAAATTTCGAATTCGGCATCGATTCCAAAGACGTATTTTTTCAGGCATCCGTTGATGCAAGTTCCGTGATAACAAAGAATTAATTCTCCACCGAGAGGAGCGAGAGTACTTATTCAGCTATTGCATGGGCTTCTTCATGCATGATACCGCAACAATAGATGTAATCCAGTACCAGAGAATTGTGACATGGTGAAAAGCAACTGGGAAGGCAAAAAGTTAATTTAGAGTGACTAAGTAAAATACACGGAATCTTATGGTATTTACCGTACATTTAAAATAGTCAACTTTGGGTCCCGTGCAGAAAAAGGCTCCCCAGTCCATGTTTGTCCAATCACCCGATGACCCAAAAATCTAGCATGAATTATTAGTGGACTGCATGAACTTTCGTGCTCATGGCAACGGAACGCACGCTATACAATATAAGCAGTATAAGCACATGGTCCATGTTGGAAACAAACCCACTCATTTCAGCAGCTCCGTATACAATTTGTACTGGGTCAGCAAGTTATTAATGTTTGTGACAAAACAAATCATGAGATTGCTAAGAATTATTTTCGCCTTTCGGAGATAATTATATTTAGCGTGCTATAGCGAAACAAACGACGAGGTTCCAGCAAAAAAGAGGGAGGTTAAAATTAGGGATCTTTTAAAAATTGGAGAACAGTTCAGAAAGAATTTCATTTTTTTTTTTTTTTCGAGGTTATCTGGCAAGCGCAGCGACCAGCGAAGCCAATTGTCCGGCCGCTCAGCCAACTCCCAGCGAGCGACTTCCGCGAACCTGTGACGCGTTCCTTCCGCGAGTTGCAGCCTACCTACCAGATTCTACTGATACAGATTCTCAAACATTTGTATAATGTAATAGTTCAGATGGTATTAATTTAATTGCAAACATTAAAAAAAGATAAGCTATACTATAAGGATATGCACCAACATTTCTCAACATTTTGTGTGTGTGTGTTTTTTTTTTTGTGGCTGAGCGAAGTGAGTCTCACCATCAGGAGACGCGAATATCACATCAAAGGTGCCATCACTTAATGCATTGTGACTACATTGCACTTTTGTAATCAGTCAATCAATACATTTTATGTATATACATGTATATATGAAATTTATACTACTTGAAATATAGTATAAACATTGTTCGCGAGGATTAAAATAGGAGGATTAAACCGGATTTACATGAAACTGTTCAACCTAATTGAGTACCGCTACTTCCTGTTGAAATGAGTCTGTATCTTTCCTATTTTCCATTTAAATTTGCTCAGCAATCTTTTCGGGTACTAGGAGAAAATTAATCAAGAGTCATGTGTGAAACTAATTTTCGCTAGAACTTTGCGCGACGGATCTCAAGAACCAACTTGAAATAAGAGTATTTCGAATAAATCAAGTGTACAAGGAAAATTCGGCATGAAGAAGGTATAAAATCTCTTATTTACATTGTATTTAATCATACATGATGATTAAACGGATTTCTTTTCTGCTTTCTACAACTATTTTGTGAATCAAATCAACTCGCGCCCTTCATTCCAGATTGATGGCATCAACTTGTTATAAGTGCAATTGCGAAAACAGTAAAACAGGAGGAAATTGCGAAGTTACAGGAAAGGGTCAATAACCTTTAAATTTAAGACCTTACATATAACACACAAAATAATAAAAACATACTTCGCATAAACAAAATTCGCTGGTACTGGCTGCTTTGTAGTATCTAATATTTGTTAATTATATGTATATATTGATCACCTGGTGAGAGGCCGTTGATGGGCGTTCTTCAGAATCCATGATGGATGACGTTGTTCACTTGTAAGAATTTAAGAATTTCTTCTCATGTGCAATTTCTTCATCTATTCTGTTTCAAAAGTATCTAATCGCTCAACAAACGCGCACGAATTGACTAGGTTGTATTTTCAAAGCATATTTGAAGCGCCAAGTTAAAAAATATTCCTATCCCAAAATCGGGATTCTTTTCTTCGTCCTCGTCTTGTTCCATATTGCATGCCACCGTTTGAAAGCGAACAAAAAATAATTTTCAAATGAATTGCAAATTTAGGTAATTTAGAAAATTTAACTGTTTCAGAAATCGATTTAGCCTTACGTCAAAAACGAGAAAAACTTCCTAACAACTAAATGCCGCTGCAAAAGTATAATATGCAGGAAAGCGTTCAGGTTAATGTTTTCTAGATATTACTATAATTAACACAATCTTAAACTGAAAACATTACCTACAGAAAAACACAGGTCGTTTTCCAATTTTCACAGATAATATTGCATGAATTATCCTTAATTAGCATTAATTACTATCTCAAATGATAACTGAAGTTCAAATTCACATCAAAATTCTTTATCTCGATTGATGTGTTAGCATCACATTGAGATTTTTAGCGCATTTTCTTATTTATGGAAAAAAGGCGCTATTGTGCTCGTTATGTCCATCCGTCTATCTGTCCGTGACCACGTTTTCGTCGACGAAAAAATACGCTCTCCGTCACTCACTGCCGTGAGTACTGAGTTATATTTTTTTAAATGCTTTCTGCGGTATACCCATTGAAATTTTAAATATCTAAAACTGAACTTAGCAGCCAATAATTTCGATTGTCTTCTGCTGGTCCATTAATGGGTAAGCGAAGGGAACCGACAGCCATGACGCTGAATCAGATCTCCAGCAAAGACATCCCGCTGGCCTCTGATCGATGAAACTCAGCACACATTTTTCTTTCTTTTATTATGATTGACATTTCCACATTTTTATTAATGTTACGAATGACATTCGTGAGAATGAATGTAACAACCGTGCCGGAAATTTCAACTTTGTGGCACGAAAGTTTGCCCGATCAATGCACGGACTTCGACCACATGGAGAGAAGCTATACAAATATAGAGTGCTGCATTCCATCCATGCAATGACTACTGGTTCTAGTCCAAAAGTTCTAATCAAATATTATTCAGATATTAAATGCAAAAACATAATGCATCAAGACCGCATAAATACTACAACTTTAATATAACGAAGAAAAATTAACATGTCAGATTGTTACTGATACATTAGTCTTTACGAAAATTCTAATCAAAAATTATTCAGATATTAAATGCCAAAACATAATGCATCAAGACCGCATAAATATTACAATTTTAATAACGGAAAAATAACATGTTTGATTGTTACTGAAACATTAGTCTTTACTAACACATTACTTTTTACGGACACAGTTTAACTTCACAAACAATTAGGAAGGGCGCTCCTTCCAAATGTAATTTTTACCAATCTCAAATCATTCGTGATCTCTGCCGAAATTTGTTCAAGAGCGATCTGTAGCTTTTGAAGCAAGCGTGAAGAATTATCGAAATTCATGAACGAAACTAATTGGGATCAATAAATGAATTAGTTTCGAACAATTTAATTTAGAATTCTTAATGTTAATATCAAATGAATTTTTTATGGAGGCTATTAAGTCAACTTGCTGTATTCAGAAATTCATATGAGAAACTCAAATTTTTAACAATTTTATTATATTAATTCTATTAATCAATGAATTCGTACAACTAAAACGAGTTTAAAGGAAACTTATTGGGTCAATGGAACTACTAACGAAAATAAACCTTCTGAGGAAAGTTAATAATGGAACTTATTACTTATTAGTGGGAAGTAATTTGATTAAAATTACATTTTAAAAAATTAAATTATACAAATATATATGAATATTTCAAAATACTATTGTACATGAAACAAAAATAATGCTTTTTATTGCATTATTAATGCTAAAAAATAATGCATGAAATAAAAATGCTATTTTATTTTTGCATTTTCGTCACTCATAATGCAACTGATTTAAACATTTTAGTTCAAAGTGAGCGCTACACGCGATGAGGTCTACACGCACGGCACATACAACGAGGTTGTGGACGCTACTTCATAAGGTAGCGGCGTTCATTGTACGTTAAACTTTAATTAAAGGCAGCCGATCAAAAAACTTTACATAGTTCTCATATTCACCGAAACCAATTCATCTGTATGAATATTTAAGCACATGAATGTCGGATAAGCGAGCTGTGTCATGTGATGCCATTCGCTGGTCTGTGATACCAAGCGATGTTTTGCTATGTCATGTGATACAATATGCAACGCTTTGCTATGTCATGAAATTCCATTCATGTTCATGTGATGCCACGTGATGTCGTGCGATGCTATATATGCAATCTTATACGGCATCATGCAATGCACTTAGATGCCGTGGAATGCCATAGGATGCCACGCCATGCGATGCAAAGCAACATCATGTGATGCCTTTGACTTCCAAGCTAGTGATGCTATGAAATATTATGCGTAGCCGTAATATTTCATCCGATGTCTTGCGTTGATGTATTTGATGTTATGCGACATCAAGCGACGATGTGCGATGCCATGAGTTCAGTACCTATTCACGTTACTTACAGCTACACGTTAATTAATAATGAATATTGATGTACTTATTTAACCAGCACACGGTAGTTTCCTGACCTGTAAATATATTCCCTCCAAGTTTCGTTAATCTATTGTTGCATATTGTGAATTTGTTCAATATATATAGTTTAGAGTCTTATTAAGCGACAAGCAATTAACGAAAATCATGCAAACTATTTAGTGTTATTTACTAGAAGCAATTCATAGTTGCTTATAAAGAAGGGAGGAATGAAGTGATGACTACATTGATGAATTGATAGTAGCGCCGTCTCCTTGGTAATTATTTTGACAAACAGGAATGACACGAAGTAGCTACTAAACACGGCACGAAACTAGCCAGATCACTCGACACAATCCATTCATGAGCCATATTAAATTTGGCTAGAGGTACCTCCCTATAATTTCTTAAGCACTGCGTAGCCAGCATTTCTTGAGAGCCTGAGAAATAAATGAATTACAGTAACCGCCAGAAGCAACATCAGCTGCTCATTGGGAAGTCTGGAGCAACAGCAGCTGCTCAATGGGAAGTCTGGAGCAACAGCAGCTGCTCAATGGGAAGTCTGGAGCAACAGCAAGCAACAGCAGCTGCTCAGTGGGAAGTATGGAGCAACAGCAGCTGCTCAGTGGGAAGTCTGGGGCAACAGCAGCTGCTCAGTGGGAAGTCTGGGGCATCAGCAGCTGCTCAGTGGGAAGTCTGGAGCAACAGCAGCTGCTCAGTGTGAAGTCTGGAGCAACAACAGCTGCTCAGTGGGAAGTCTGGAGCAACAGCAGCTGCTCAGTGAGAAGTCTGGAGCAACAGCAGCTGCTCAGTGGGAAGTCTGGAGCAACAGCAGCTGCTCAGTGGGAAGTCTGGGGCAACAGCAGCTGCTCAGTGGGGAGCATGGAGCAACAGCAGCTGCTAAGTGGGAAGTCTGGGGCAACAACAGCTGCTCAGTGGGAAGTCTGGAGCAACATCAACGCCTAGTTTGACAGCGTAATTGCAACACAGACGTACGAGGGCCAATCAATGAGTGATTGGAGTGAGTGCGAGATCATGAGATCGACGCGGGTTATACAGTAGTGTAGCTTCAAATCCAATGTTCTAGGTATGTCACTTATTTATATGAATTACTATCAGACAAATATTTGATCGTTCCAACCAAAACTAAGCTATCTTATTATGATACAGAAAATATGTTAAATATTTCATCCGGAGTTAAAATAGTGTCAACTATCCAACTTGATGCGATTTTTTATTCATCAAAATATGTTATTTCTTTATCGTATGAATCCAAGACCGAACGGTTGATTTTCCGCCATTTACATTCCGTAGTTTACTGTCTGATATTTCCGTACCAACAATAAATCAGCCAAAGTGGTAGCTAGGATCACATAGTTGCTAGAATTTCGAATTTTCGATGGCAGCTCGGTAAGATCATAATTACTTGTATCAATTTTCCCATACGCCGAAAAAATAAATGACAACACTAAGAGTAACAGAATCCTACTTCAAAATCTTTCTAACATCACCTCTTTTATTCCGAAACGTATGCATGTATTACGAACTTTGATTGTGGTGCCTAATGCTTTCCGGTATCATTACTTCGCCACTCAACTAGCCTAAAGCCACTACAGACGCTGACATGCACTTGACCAAGAAACTCACTTAGGTAGGTACAGTATGAGTGCTGCCCGGCGCATATGTGATACCGATTGGTGAGTGAACGTTCATCGTTAATTGGACTTCACCTGCACCGGACTGAAAATCAGTGAGAACTACTTAAGAGTTAGCAATATGTTCTTTGAATATTCAAGTCTTGACGGTTTAACTTTCGAAGAAATTCCTCGATTTGGATAGCATATGTTTAACTAATCGCCTCCGGCCCTCCGCTGCTGAACAGAACATTTCGTTGTAGTTGCCCAGCAAAGTAGATGGCGGAAAGGTAACCCACTCAGTAGCTCTTCATTTGGCTCGGTATAAAAAAACAGACATTAACATTCAGAATCAGGAGATTAAAATATCTTATTTTTGCACGAGATATAGCCAAAGATAGGTATTATATCAATTCAAAATATCTAATGATACGGTGTCAGAGTGTCTCCCAATGTCACGAGTTCGTAAGTGATCGTAACTATAATTGCAACTCATTTCACAATGTAAAGGGCCTAAAGGCAGCCTATTCACTATTCTGACTCGGTGTTAAACCCGACGACTAAGTATCGACTTATAGTCATAAGCCATGAGCAGGCAAATCAGTATTAAGCCAGGTGTCCCATCATCTATCGTACGCACCACACTTCGCGAACACCAGTTTGCTACTGACCGTCTGAACGCAGAAGTGAGAACGCTACTACGGCACTACGCTAGCCGCTAGCGCCTATAGACTAGGTAAGACAATCTGTCGTATGTACTGAACTTTTCAAGGCCCGTAGTAATGTTCAATAATGCGTTACTTCCTTGAATGTTAGTTCAGCATCACCACCGCGCCATACTTAGGCCACTGATCATATGCAATTGTACTGCCTCTGATTCACCTCCTAGGTAAAAGATTAATTCGGAGAAGCAAATGAATTTAATTTTAATTATTTAATTAAATATTAATGCACCGGAATGCTCCATGCAAATTGCATTAAAAATGCGCGTGAAACAAAAAAAAACGGGTAGGCCACTACACTGGTAAAGGCCAACCATGTAATCATTCGATCATTTTTCTTTCAATTAATCGCATTGCTTTCTGCTTCGTAAATTGCTAGTTTAGTTTGCAGACGCTTCCAGTATCGTCATTTATTCGTACGTGAAGTTACAATCCTAAAATTATCTATGTTTTATACATCCGGAAGTTTCGCTTACCCAACAATCGCTGCGAAAATAATGGGCACAATTGATTGAGGTTGCACGACAGAAAATGACAATTCCCACTAGTCCGTAAATTTACTTACTTTATTTCTGCAAATTTATCATAAATTTTTTTTATTTAACGGAATAAATGTAAATATTCAACGCGAATCAAGACTAAAATTCGACTAATATATCGTTTTCGGAATTGTTCGCAGAGCCCAATTTTTTTGAGCGCCAACTTATCAATCTTGTCCTTGCTGACGCATATATCAATCCTGTACACATTTAGCAGGCTCCTGCAATTTCTCAACGATGATTGCGTCACAAATTTACCTTATTCAAATCAATGTTTCATTGCTTTCTATAAATTCATTCCCTTAATAAAGTTATGACCATTAATTATGACCATTTTTATGTATGAAGCATGAGTCACTGAAATGACTTGAACTTCTTTGAGGCCATGGTTGAACTAGTAGAACCATGTTTGAGGCAACATGCTACGTTCGTGCTCATCGCCTAACCTCCAAACAAACGCAAACAAACGCGAACCCTTTGGGTTGAAATATTCCTATCCTGTTGATTAAATGTTCACTACCCTACTTTCACAGGTAATCAAATTATGTTGGAAAGTAATTTTACAACGAATATAATTAATTCATCCTTCAATAGTGAATTTACAAGTTTATAGCATATATTTTCCGCATTTGTAGATAGCGCGGAACTCACGTCAAAACTATCCCGAGGCTGCTTTCTCGAATCGCGATGGCGGTTAAAATGCTCTGTAACATCGACAATATTTGTGGACACGCATACTACTTGGCAGTAAAAATCGCATTGAGTGAGCGCCACGTCGCTTTTTTCAGCGCATTTTCGTTTTGATAGAACACTGTGAACATGATCTTACGTTCATTTTCATACTCATAACGATTACGAACTACATAAATCTCACAAACATAACTGACTCATCTGACACGGTGAAAATGTAGCCCCTCATCTTTCCTTTGTAGTCGGGGAACTGACCAAATTTATGAAGGACATTGACGATGACCTGCATTTGCAAGAAATATAAAGACACCTATTATCAATCAAATCTAATTTATTTTGTTTAAAAGTGGAACATCACTCTTATTAAAAGTTAAAAGAAATTGCAAATCACGTTTGAATTGTTGAAGCACCTTACGAATTGTAATTACCAGCTTTCTTATTTGATGAGATTTAATTAAAACAACATAATTAAAATGCGAACTTAGACATGTGTAATTATCTGCAATATCTTGGCTAAAACACCGATGATCGGTATTCGCTGTTAATAAATTTGGAAGGACGACTTGGCACTAGTACACTAGTACCGTACCGTGCAGTCGCTGCAGTGCGCCGCAAAAGTTGGAACCTCGCACAACAGTGTGACATCCTTATGATTGACAAATATCTGCAAAAATGATCAATTCTGACTACTGAGGGCTTCGTGATGGAAGAGACGGAAAAGTGAAATAAAGAAGTAAATTACCCTCTTGTGTGTCGAACACCAGCTGAAACTTGAATCATGGAGAGAATCGCTAACGCGAATAAAGATTTACCTAAAAAAATACCCGCACTGTCCATTTCATCTGAAGTACTGACTCTATTCTGTTTTATCCCCAACAACTTGAAACGTTGACCATTTCAAGAAATTCGTTATCTTATATGTTCGTCTCATGGCGCATACGTGATGTAAATCTGAGTGGTACGATGCACTTCTTGCCACAGTATCGCATGGGCTGCCATCAAAAGGATAATATAGCTCGTCGAACTGACAGTGACATTGCGGGCCAAAAGGCATAACAGGCATCTTTAAATTCCTTTCCATAATGCATCTTTAAATGCCCTTCCATTCAAGTGTGCCGTAAGGTCAAAAGAAAGCAGCGTCTGGCAACTTTTAGAATCGTGCGAAAGTTAGGGTCGCCACTCATCGCCGGGGTCAGTGTCTACTCTGGTGCGTTCGTTGTGGGTGTAGCAGCCGTTTCTGCTCTCTCTTATCATGTGACCTTGTGACAGTCCTACGTTTGTCCCTTCATCAAAATACTTCAATAATTTTGTCAATTGTTTTCTGTAACAATTTACTTCGATATCTGATTGTGATTTGTGCAGTATGTAATCAATCACGCGCATCGATTTATATCAATGAATACGTAACACTTGCTTCGTTGCTAGTCAGCCCAACGACAGTGCAAGAACCAACTAACGAGCGATCACTGGCCACTTACTAGTTAGTTCTGTATTACTATAGTACTGACTCATTTTGGTGATTTGTAAGTGAATGTTCCAGGCACAAAAAATTGTTCTGTGTTCTGAGCTACAAATCCATCGTTTGTCACCGATCCATTTTGCATAACGAACTAATCTTGATGATAATTTTTCTTGGCTGTCTAATTTACGTGTTTTTTTCAATTATCAGCAAGCTACTTTGCTGAACCAAAATTTTTCAAACTTTTACTTAATTTGTTTGGTAGGGTGAAGTGTTTCTCGTCCACAAAACAGACCAGAACCTTCTAATAAACCGTTCTACGAAGACAGCGTCTGACAGCAAGCACAACTTTGTGATGGTGGATGTACAACTAGCATACCACTCGCCTAGTATGCGCACTGCTCACCATGTCAGTTAGGTAAGTAACTCGTATCGTGTTCCGGGGCATCACTTATTTTTAAGGACCAAGTGCCCATGAAATGAACAGGATGTGAGCGAACGTTTAACTTCACAAAAGCTGAGAACTTTTTAATACGCTAATGCCAACCAACATAGGAAATTAGGAATTATTATATGTTTAGACTTTGGTCTTTAGAGCGATGAAAACATATTCAGGACACACTACGTCGAATTTGTCGGCATATTTTTTACCAACAATAGTAATTTTAATAAATGAATATGAAATTATTTAGGGCTTAAGAATATTTTCGGGAGGCTGCAACCCACCTAAAATAGGTCTTATGACGCCAGTAACGTGTTAATGGTTTGGGAATTTCGCAGTCTTTCTTCTACGCAATGTAATCTTTATTATTTCTGTGGAGTTGATGTGAACTAATAAATACCGTCGCGAGTGGGTTGTTATACATGGTGTATAACAACCCATGTATACTATCATATACCATATATCATATATACTGCATAGTCACTACTGACTCAGTGACTGTGCTGCATACCGTCAATGAACAGCGGCTTCACCTTAATCCTGACCACGAGTCCACGACTAACTCTAATCTGCTAAAAAAATATACGGGGCTTTCCTAAGCAGCGCAGCTTGTAAATAAAGTTTAATTAATTTCTTTATCAGAAGTTTGCATGATAGGTCAGCCTCGAATTTGTCGAAAATACCACGAGAAGTGTACACTTGTGGAGTGAGGAACGACAATCTCTTTGCAGTCGAAACTGTTGGCCTTAGTTAGCTCTAATCGCGGTATGTATTCGCTACATTTTCCCACGCGTACCAGTTATACAACCTAAATATTCTCTCCCTTAACTCTCGCATTTTCATTCATTCTGATTTGGTTTTCGTAGTGACGAGAAGAAATGTGCGTCGACCGAGGCTTATCCCTGAAGAGTGACGCTGATAGTCCACGGAGAAATGAATGCGACGGTCAGGTAACTGGAGTCACCGCACGAGGGCTCGCACGCACAGACCGCCAAAATCGATAAGCTGAATGACAGACGCGACTTGCCACCTGCACTCGCACAGGTGGCGCTCTTCTGCGATACATTTGCGATTCACTTTGTATCGCAAGAATTATAGTTGATTATAAATTTTGTCTCGTTGATTATAAATTTCGTTTATTTAGCTTTTCGTAAATTTGTCACGTCCATGAGTTGGCACATCGTTAATTTATCTCTTAATTACAGCCTTATCGTTGGTAATATTATGCTGCTTTGTAACTGTCGCATTTGTGATTTGTGAAGGTAGTATTCTCACTTCTAATAGTCGTGCAGAACCTTTTATCAAACATTTTATAATGATTAAAAAACTTATTTAATTCATTCGAATATTTTTTAATATTCGAATAATGTATTCGAATAATTTAATAATGAAAAAGTTCATTCAATAGTGTTCATAGACTTACATTTTATTTCGTATCCAAAACCTCAATTGTCCTCATATATTAAGGAGGGACGACTGGATTGAGAAGGGGACCTGATAAACGCCCAAAATTTCGTAGTAGGCCCTCGTTTTGAGGACTTTTGCAGTAATCTCAAAGTTTTTATAATTAGTAAGGTTGAAGTTTGCGCTATTTCAACTTAGAAAGCTTTATAAAAGCGACCGCCGAAACTTATAGATGATTTGCTGTGCTGTAGAAATAATTGCGCTGGAAAGTTTACGAGCCTCGCAGCCTTGGGATTAGGTACGGGGAGGTAAAGGGTTGGGCTGTTCTCAACCACATCTACTCGCCCGAGTTGTCGCAACTACACGACACGCGTGTGTGGAGGGTTTCCACTTGTACTTCAACTAGAACTTCGCAAATACACCTTTGCCCTCATCTCGAGGACAAATGAACCCGTGAGTTTCTTTTTATGTTTGGCCAAAAAGTCCAGCAGCTTGTCTCCGACGAGCGAATAAGAGCCTACTAGCCATGCAGCGATGCTATTCAGAGTTCCGTTACTGCCTCATGTAAAAAGATAAATTCGTATAAAATTGTGTCAAATTTCCTTTGGATGTCGACTGTCGAGTGTATTTCATCAGATATTGCAGTAAATTATAGCGTAAGCAAGACTAATATTACTGTTCGAACTGTTGCGTAGGTATTTAAATTGTTTTAATTCAACCTGGTGTTTTTTGGTTGTTTAAACATAGCAGGATTAGATACAAGCACCTCTTGAAATATACTATACTAAGGAATTAAATATTTTAATTTTACATTTAGTATAAATTATTATGCATGACTCGTTGGCAAGAGCAACTCAAGCTCTCTGCCTCATTGCTCTTTTAGCTAAGAAATAACTCGTTCATTTATACTTTCCTTGTATCATTAGTCTGCTTAAATCGCAATTTCACCATGAATTTAAATTCAAAAAAGTGAATTCAGCATATCTTCATGAAAAGGTTTTGGACTCGAGCTCCATCACCAGTTCTAAGCAATTTTTGAGAAAGCCAGTACAAACAGCAGTGAAAATCCAAATATACACGAATAAATATCAAAACCTAAATGACATGAAGACGACAACGGAACACAAATACCAATTAATTTACAATTTCGAGGGGACACTACACGTTATTGAAATAAGGTTTCTGTTTAAAAACATGCAGAGATACTAAAATCGGTAAAATCTTTGCCCTTCTTGACCTGCAAGTTTTTATCTTGTTGGATTGATCGCGGAGGATCGCGTTCAGGACAATTTATTTTCTTATCGGTCATGCAACTTTTCCAATGAGCTGACCATTACTCTGAATCTTATCGGTCTTACAACTTTTCTAATGAGAAGACCATTACTCTGAGCTCAATCAATGTATGCAATCAATGCTCGACTAATTTGGCATGCACAGGCGTCCGAAATAAAATGAGGAATACTTCTCCAGAAATAATGCTTCATCTGCTCTCAATAAAGCTTCATCCAAATGCTGAAACACTCTGAGACAATTAAAAAAATTGCTAAGGCAATGCTACTTCTTAATTTTTAATGACTGCATTGCTATTCTGTACCAGTAACCAATCAAGGGTTCTTGAAAGCCTAATTTAAATGACTGGTAAGGTTCAGGTTTTCGCTCGCAACCTGAAAAAAATTAATAAAAAACTCAAGTTTGAGCTTTCCATTCCGCGCCTGCGGCCCCGTCCTGTATGGCTTCCAAGAATGCATTCTGGCGCAGATTTATTTGTTTTTCTTACTGTCTCGCTTGAGAGACTGCTTTGCATCTCGATAGCCTCTATCTTTTATCACTCACACCCTCCTCGTCTCACTCGAGACGACGAAGGCTCGGAGTTCTCGAGAGATAACTGAGTGAATGTGAGTGATGCAACCTAGAAGGAGTTCTCACAGAACACTAGATTCCATCATTAGATGAGCGGGTCATTCTGAACAAAATCCTTCTCTAGCAGCCTCATTCACGTTTAAATTCATTTTAAAAACATCGTAAATGGACAATAGTCCATTTATTATCCATATGCCACACAAATCTAGAACGGAGGTCCACTGTGCAGTGACGTTGCCGAGGTTTAGTGCAGCGCCCTCACGCTGCTCTTCGATCGCCCCTGTATTATTCAGAGCCTCCTAATTAGCGGGCCTGATAATTGATTGCAGCTGCTCTTCTCGTTTTCTGAGTCTCTTCATTCACATTTTCGTTCAATAGCACTTATATTCTCTTTTAATATTATAATTATATTTTCTTATTTATATCTATATAATACTTATATTCTCTTATTTATAATTATTCTCTCGTTAATAGCACTTATAATATCTAGTGAGCTCAAATCGCAAGCTCACAAAAAATTTGAAAGCAAAGGAAAACGCCAAGTAAATTCACAATATCTTCATTGAAAAACGACGTTTCCTATGAGAATATGGTTCATTTACTTGGCAAAAATAGCTTGCAAAAAAAAATTCGCACACTTAATGCACATTATATTTTACAATTTTTTCTTGGTGATTACGGTTATCATGTAAAGTTCGCGTATTTTTGTTACTGTGCACAGACAGTAAATAGGTGGATAAGGATGATAAAATTCATACATTTATCTCATTTGCTGGTTGCTTGAATCAGCGCCCCGAAATTCATGTCCACTACTTAATTGGATAAGGAAAACTTAAATTTGTTCTTTTATGACAATTTGTTATGTTTAGTACATGCATAGTGAAAATACTAAATACAACAGCATCATGGTGTTGTTGCGGAAAAGCGGCACNATGTGCAATTTGCACTAAGCTCTGCAATTTCCTGTCTTCAACTATGTGTCTCCGGTCTTTCGAAAGAAATATTGGTGCTGTGAATGAATTTTTAAGCTGAAGCAATTGTAAAATTCTATAGCATTTGTCTAGTAAACATCTTTCGTGAAAATATTGATCCTGATAGTTTGGCTTCAAGCTACTCAAGTTAAAGTGATGCTACATAGTGTCAAAGTTAAAACAATTATTTTTAAAAACTTCATGGCAGGCGTTAAACATAAATCTATAACTGCGTTCTGAAAGTCATACGATTTTTTCAGGTGCACGTCCCTACTGTCATAGAGTTGTGGCGGTCTATCAAATTGTAACTTTACGACGGGAGGCCCTGAGTTGTCTTTGAAGCCATTTGCGTCAAGCAACTGACAAGTTTATGCTCTCGAGGATCACCGCCAAGCCTTTCTTGTAGCCTCTCGCCTGACGCCCATACGGTCTTAAAAACTGGGCCTTAGGAAACCCATCTAAAGTTCGGAGCTTTTACCGGCTTTGACGACATCGAATTTTTTGGCGAACTTGAGCCGAGTTGAACCTCTCGTTGGTTATTTATTATTTTATTAACGGTATTTTTAGTTCATTTATTAATTTTATTATATATCCCTAGGATTAAAAAACTTGTATTATCGTATATACGAATTACACGTTTAGTGGCGCTGTCACAACAGGTTTTAATTTTATAACGAAACGAAATTTCTGCACTTGTTTTTCGATTTTTATAAGTATCAATAATTTGAATCTCTGTATCAC